AACTGTTATTTCATCAATTCTTCCATTATTCTTTACTTATTCTCTGCCCAAGGAGCTCTGGTAGCATAGTACCTAAGGCACTTGACTGCTAACCAGAAGGCTGGCTGTTCAAACCCACCAGCCACTCCTTGGAAGGAAGGTTGGGCAATCTACTTCTTTAATGTTACTGCCTAGGAAGCTCATGGAGGTGTTGCTATGAGTTGGGGCTAATTCAATGGCACATAACAACAACAACAACTTTCTGTCTAAGAGCAAGTTTCAGAGTTTCTTCTGACACCCATTTTGGTCTTTTCTTCCTTTCCTGTCTTTTTAATGACTTTTTGCTTTCTTCATGGATGATATTCTGGATGTCATCCCACAACTTATCTAGTCTTTATGAATAGCTGTAAAACATTGTCTAACATAGTGCTGGATGATGAGACTCTCAGGTTGGAAGGCACTCGAACCATGACTGGGAAATAGGGCTTTCTCAAAGTAGAGTTAATCTTCATCAGTAACACTTCAAGTCCTCTTCACTTCCAGCAAGCAAGGTTGTGTTATCTGCATATTTCAGACTTTTAATCAATATGCCTAGAATCCTGATGTTGTGTTTTTCTTCATGTATTACATAGTAGTTCAATGTGTTTGGGAATAGCAAAGTACAAACTGACTTTTCTTCAATTAAGTAAAAAAAAAAAAAAAATTACTCTGATTTTTATGTTAAGATCTGTACAACTTGGAAGTTATTATTCACAGTTACTCTTTAAAAAGAGAAGGCCCAGATATCAATGGCATTCACATTCCTCTCTTCCTGTTTCATTAATATTAATGAGTCATCAGAGATTTGAATAACATGGACAAATTTGGCTAATTATGAGCTCTGAGTATTAGCCCTCAAACCTAGACAAGTGCTTTTCAGGTCTTCAAATTGTGCATCAAAGTACAGTGATCCCCATATCTGTACCTCTCCACCAGAGTGATCATCTGCCTCAGGACGCCCATGCCTGAGTATATGTTTTTGACAGTCCTGAGAAAGGAGCTTGAGCCTTCATCATCCACCAGGCAGGAGAAGGCTGGTGGACCTGAACTCCTTGGTCATGCCCCAGCAGAGATTCAGCACAATCCCGTGAGTGTCATGTGCAACAGTGGACACAGTGTGGCTGGGGAGCATTGTTTCCTCAATAGGACAAGCAACAAATGAGGATGGCCAGATGGGAAGCCTTGAAGGGCTGTTTCAGCTCAGAAGCCTGTAAATTATCTGTTCCTGCTTCAGGTAGAAGTCAGAAAGGTCATTTAGAGTTTTGATTTCTTCAACATTAATTCTAGCCCCAGTAGGCCCTTCCCCACCAGAGCAGGAAATGAG